ACGTTATATCCACAAAAAATTATCATGACAGACCAACGTCAACAGACGATGTTTGTATCAAATTCGACACGCAAGCATTTTTGTTATGCGATAATATTAGCTTATTGACGAAGAATGCCATGCCGGCGATATCGTTGGCCAAAACAAATTGCACAAGCTTGCAACAGCAACTTTGTGCAGCGAAAGGAATGCATATCTATCTATTTGCGATTACGTCATCCTAATACGGCTAGGAATGCCATAAAATCTAATTTCCATAATGATTTGTGAGTCTATCTTTTTCTCTCTTTATTCTTAATATCCGGAAACGTAAGCCTTATGAATTACACGATATTAATATGGAAACGTGATTAGCAAGTGCCATCGAATCCTATTTCATTTTCATTATTCTATCATTGTTACTATTCTTATAATGAGAGTTACATACACACATATACTACATTTTCTGAATTTAATTAATTTAATTTTTACTGTATTTTGTGTTTATTTATAATTTTATCACTGTTAAGATTTAATAAGTTGTACATATATAATATCAACACACACAAACATTTGGAAATTGTGAGATATGATTTCTATATCAACCACTATACGCTATGTAAAGGGGTTAATAACTCGTCGAGAAATTCTTGCACCAGCAGCGGCTCGAGAAATCGATGTAATGAGTCAGTGGGTGAGTCGATTAGACTAAGAGCGTCACGTATTACCTACATCGATGTGTGCTTGCGAGAGAGAAAGAGAGAGAGAGAGAGATACACATAAATAAAGAGATAGATAGATAGAGAGAGAGAGAGAGAGAGAAGAAAAAGAAGAAGAGATGGAAAAAAGAACAGAGTCCGCATCTCTCGCCACGTGCGTCGCATATGTGTCGACGCCTGCAGAAAAGCGGCGAGAAGTGCAGCCTCAAGGCCGCCGAACTGCGTTTGCAGAGTTCAACAGATTCACAATTGCTTGCGTTAGGCCGTTTCTTTGTCATATAATTCGCTTACGCTTCGAATCTTTTGATCTTTGTGAAACAAATAGTAATCTTTTAATGAATTTAATTTGTGAGTGGGTGTAATATTTATTAAATTAAATGCATCAATTTTATTATTTATTTTTATCTATTTAATTCTCTGAATGAATGTGTCTAATTTTTTATATTAGTATCCTTTTTTAAAGAAACAAATGGAAAAAATTCTCACAAACTTCTCCCAAATAATATTTCAAAAATAATATATTATAGATAATAATAGAGATATAATTTTCAATATATTCATTAATATATGACATTTCCTCGCACTACGTTTCTGTTTGCATTTGTTTGCATATGTTTGCGATTGCACCAAAAGTGGTCGCTTATAATGACTGACATCCCGCGAACTTCCAATCTCTTCTCTCTGTCTTTCTCTCTAACGCGAGACACACCGGAAATCGTGAACGCGAAGAAGAGGCAATAATCCCAAAACACACTATTCATTCCTTCGGACAAACGGCCGGAATGTCGAGGAGAAACCGCTCATCGTTTGAGAGAGAGAGAGAGAGAGAGAGAGAAGGGGAAGAGGGGGAGGTGAGGTGAGAGGAGTGGCACAACGAGAAGGGGAGGAGAAGGAGGCGCTGGAGAGAAGCAGCGAAGTTTCGCTTTAGGAGCGTAGAACTTAACTCAGTTAACTTTGCTGCCGAACCAAACTTTCCGCCAACTTTAAGTAGTCGCCTCTCCTTCCCTCATCCCTTCCCGTGGCCGTTCACTCGGAGGTGGAAGGTACGGCGAGCGGAGAGAGCAACAACCCCTCCACAATCCCTTTACCTCCCTCTCAAGAGGACGAGAATGGCCGAACTACCGACACCGATACTCGCCGTCATAATTGGACGACTTCCTTATCCCCCGCTTGTTTTTCTTTCTCTTCCCTCTCTCCTTTTCCTTCTATCAGAATCTTTTTCTCGTGCGGAACACTATTCAAAAAGGGAAATAATACAGGATATGACAGCGTTTGAGTGTTCATGTTTTTTTTTTTTACGAATTTCGATATCTCTCAATATTATATTTTTATTAATATTGTTTTATTATTTATAAGGAATTTTGTGTGTTATTATCCAGTCTTTCATATTTTATTATTAGTATTATTATTTAGAGAAAAGAGAAGACCTATTTCTGAATACAAGGCAATTTTGAATAGCAATGTTTTCCATATCAGTAACTTTGATCAAAGAATTGCCTTGAACTTGTCAGATAAAAGCATAATATGAGTATAATACACAGCAGCGTTCGTTTTGATACAATAACCAGCTTCTTCTGATAATGATCCGAGAAGGTATGCAGGCTTTCGTTGAAAAAACAAAAAAACAAAAAAAATCGCGTTGTAGATTAATAAATTTTAAAAGCTTTAAAAAGCATCTTGATGAATTATCGTCAGATATCTTTAAATCCATTACGTTTCAATCGTGTAAAAAAAAGCTTGCTTCAATTATTGAAAAGCAAAGTTGTTTGAATTTTACGTGTCACCAACAAAAATCCAGTCACTTCTCGTTCTCTTTCTCTTTTTTCTCTTTCTCCCTTCCTCCCTCCCTCCCCGAAAGCGGCAAGTTTTGAAACAAACTTTACTTTATCGTGGCTCGATTGTAGAGGATGGGGGGCACCCGGCAGGACCGAGCTTTTCCCTTCCACATCCCTACCCCATCCATGGGTTCTCCGCCAAGTAAAGTTGCTCCCAGGTTAGACAATAATTGGATAACTTCGCCCTCATAGCGCGCCCCATCCCATTCGTAATCCCCCCCATAAACTGCAACATTGTTACGTCAATATTACCTCATCTATTCGATACTACATTTGAATCATGGCATGCGAATATTTGTCCAATAGAAACATCGCGTTTGAAACTATCTCATTGCCACAAGATAGTTCAATCAGAGTGGTTATACAAGTACTTCACTTATACATATATAGGGTGTTCCAGATCAGATCAATGAAAGTTCATAGTCTTGTAGGAAATTGAATTTGGAACAAAAAAGTCCCTATAAACATAGGTCCGGAAACGCTTCGTTAAAAAGTTATAGCTAATAAACTTCGAAAATCACATTTTTTGACGTTTTTTAAAAATAACTTCAAAACCCTTCATTCATTTGAAAAAGGGAACGAAATAAATCTGATGGGTATTTAAATAACAAACTAAATTACGCCAATTTCATTTAATTCTGACAAGGCGTTGAAAAGAAAATAAGCTCAAAACAATGAAAAAAGCAGAAACTTGAAAAAACTACCTTTCGATGGTCTTTGTGTAAACACTACATTCGTAGTGCAAACATTGCAAATGCAAACATAAAAATATTCTTATTAAATTTTGATAACTAATTACTTATAGAGTGTTTGTTATTTGTAACTTTTTAACGAAGGTGATCTATGTTTATAGGAACTTTTTTGTTCCAAATTCAGTTTCCTATAAGAAGAACCATGAAATATCATTGACTGACTTGACCTGGATATTAGAGAAAAGGAAGAATATATTTATTATGTACTTGGCGTCGCGACGCTACCGCATCGCTTGATATGCGTGCAACATTTTCGCGAATAGATATGATACAGGTGTAATCGTTTTCCAATAGCTGTCCATCTATGCATTTCCGAATGACTGTGCATCTCTCTCATTAATATTTTGACTTCTTTCAATATTTGATACGTGCAAAAGATCAAAAATGAGAATAAAAAGTAGATGGTTTATAACAACAAATTAACTAATAAAGATACGATTTTAGAGTTTTAACAACGGTCTTTCGATGTACGAATATTGACACACATTGTACATTCAATCATAAAATGTTGCGAAAGTAAAATACACAGATAATAATAATTGGCATACACTTTTATAGACACATTCCCTTGCATTTTTCTGACGTGGGAGTTTTCCAGCAAGAAGCACACATAAACATAATATCATATGATTAGCTGTCAAATATAAAAATTTTAGGGTCTTTAAAAATTCTCTATTTAATAGCCAATTGCGTGACATCTACTTGTGTCTTCTTGCTGGAAAGATCCCATATTTAATGCGGTGAAGAGAAACCGCGAGGAATAAAGGATGTATAGGAAGTGCAACACTATCGCGAACACGGACATTAATAATGACTGGTTTTCAATCGGCTTCGTCGCTGCCGCCGCCGCCGCCGAAAACGGGTTGGAAACGAGTCCGCGCGTGGTCGCGAGAGAGAAAGAGGGTGCTCTTGCTATTAACGCTGCCGAAAACATCAGCCCCAGCGCCCTCGAGCGCCGCTGTGGCGTGCCGTTCCGTTCCGTTCCGTTCCATGTCGTTTCGTGCCGCATCTGTGCGAGAACGCCTTCCTCTCTCTGGGTTGCTGTTCGCAATTCGGTTCCCGGCTCCCTTTTCCGTTTCGATTCTCATTTTTTTCCCCGACGATCATTCTCGCAACGTAAACCTCGTCCCCTTTGTCGCCGTGCTCGAGGTCCGGAGGCAATCTGAAATTCGGTGTCGGCCAGCCAGCCAGCTAGCCAACGCGCTATCGTATTGCGCAGGTTAAGCCGGCGCATTTCAAGGTAACCTAAAAAGTCGCGAAGCGAAGCGGCGATGGCAAACGACTTGAGCACGCCGTTTGACCGAGCGCCGATGCCTTCTTTGTGGCCTCGTGTCGTTTAGACCATCTCTCACAATTTTTATTTTTATTTTTGTTATCAAAAATTTAATTTTTTCGTCTCGAATGGTATATATGATAGACTACTGTAGAATATAATATATTCTTTCTAAATGTGTGGATTACCATCATTATGTGAAATAATGTGTATGTAATGTTATGTGACAGAGATTTATGTCTTGTAGAGACATATAATTGATTGATGATAACGAAATGAGCTTGATAAATTATGCATTGCAATATTATAATATAACAGAAGAAATAAATCAAAAAGTGCAACACAACTCAACTCTATATTATAAATATAATATAAATATATGTGTATATATATGTATATATATATATCATAAAACTTGTTTTTTGTTTTATATAAATTTCAGGAGACGGTGTTTATTGAGCCGTGATGCATTGGAGATTTGGCAGTTCTTGCTCGAAGACCGACCAGAAGTCAGTGTTGCAAAAGCAGTTTGTGTGACAAAGCCGAAAAAACAAAGGGAGTGCTGAAACATTGTACTAGTTGGACTAGAAGAGGCATCTCCGCTGCGAGTGTCTTGTTGATAGATAGATTCTGTCATATTCTATCATTGTTGGAGGGAGAGTGGCAGGGGAAGGGCAGCGGTCGTAATTTTTCTTTCTAGTGACACTGAGAGCGCACAGTGAAAATAATAAAAATAGGGGGGGCGGTCTGCTGACCGATGGACAAACGGAAGATGATGCCCAAACGCCCTCGTATGGAGAACTTGAGGGGTCCGATCGCCAACGGACCGATTCAGACACGACCATTGGTTGCACTTCTCGATGGTCGCGATTGCTCCATTGAGATGCCCATTCTCAAGGATGTCGCGACTGTTGCCTTTTGTGATGCGCAGTCTACTTCAGAAATACATGAGAAGGTAATCAGAAACATATATTAGAATTTTGTTAAAATTAAACATATATATATATA